CGATCGGGGCTGCATGTTTGGACAAAGCGCACGGCCCGAAGATCACGAAGGCTGGTGCGCAACTATCAAACTTTTTGGCCTGGCACCTTCGTTGGGAAATGTTCCAAGACACCAACTGCCGTCCCCCTGCGAAGCTATGGGTTTTCCAGACCCTGCTCCTTCTCGAACTGTACGAAAAGATGTACTCGACCAGAGAGCTTCATGAACGAGCTCATATTCATCACGCAACGACCATTACTTTGATGCGCCGTGGACGAGCCCTTATTGGAAAGTCAGCGTTGGATTCACCGCCGAACCCCAGGGATGATAAGACCAATGGCTCGAGACAGTCGTCAACATCCGGGATGGCGCAAACCCCCGACGATTGGTGGAACCACTGGATTACCAACGAGGCGACGCGACGAGCAGCGTTTGCTGCATTTGTCATTGATTCTATCCACGCCACGATGTTTGGGCATTCGACCGTCATGGTTGCTCACGAGATGCGGCTACCGTTGCCATGTGATGACAAGCTGTGGAAGGCAGCGAGTGGCGCTGAGGTGGGAAGAATCGAATCCAATCTGATGGCAATTGGCAGCAAACCAATGTCCTTCCTTGAGGGGCTCAAGCGGACTCTCAGCGGCCAGGAAGTGCAGACGAACTCGTTTGGCCGCACAATTCTTATGGGAGGGTTGCTTAGCGTCAGCTGGCACATGAACCAAAGAGATCTTCAAGTCAACTCTCTTGGCGGCGGTGTCGGGCAGGCCCTGGGCGGGCGAGACAAGTGGCGAGGGACACTGACACGAGCTTTTGATTCGTGGAAAGGAGATTTTGACAAGACACTGCTGGGAAGGGGCGATATCACGGACCCATACAGCTACGATTCTCAACACCGCAACGAGTTGAATGTGGTCTTCGAAAGCCGAATCGTGTTACACCACTTAGCGCACATGGCTATGCACGTGGACATTGTGGACTGCCAGATTTTTGCTCGAGCAAAGAGACTTCTTGGTCGACAAATTGGAAGCCAAGACCTTCACAGCGCACAACGGCGAATGAAGGACATATGGGCGCCGTCAGCAAAAGCCCGAGATGCGACCTACTATGCCTTGAAGTTCCTGCACTCAGTTCTGCTCTCACACAACTCTGGGACACCAAAGTCCAATGGCTACACCCAAATGGATGATCTATATTCGGCCCGGGACGATGTGCTGCTCAATCGGCCTTGGGTTCTCTACTTTGCATCGCTCGTGGTGTGGTGCTATGGATACGCGCTCGAGGGCCCGAGCTCGGCCGCACACACTCCAGCAGCACCGCAAGACAGAGTGCGGCAGATGCGCGAGTATCTAATTAAATACGGCAATGTGTCGTCACCTGAGGAGCTGAAGTCGATGAAGGGCATCAACCACAACACACCCTTGTTGATGGTGCTAAAAGACACATTCGAGGTGACAAGATGGGAGTTGCTCCATGAAGGAGCACACCTTCTCAACAACTGTATCGCCCTCAACTCTGGCCATTCCATCTAAGCTCAAACTGGATTGGATGACGGACGGGTGGGACGAAAAGTTTGGGAAAGGGTACTCCGTCGGGACTCCGCGATACATTTTCATTTCCTATCTTCGAATGCACGTCGAATGCACGCAGTGCACAATATTGGATGGGGCTGTATGTGAAAAAGAAGCTTTTTTGTTTGCTTGTTTGTTTGTTTTTTGCAAAAGAGATCTCTGACGAGAAAGAGTTGGCATGGGTTCACACTTTAGTGGATTTTTTTGCGAGGGCGGGGCCGGAGAGCGCGTACAACTGCACGGCATTGCTCAGCACATTTACATTAACCTATACCCCAATGATTTTCCTATTATCATGTTTTTGCTTTATTTCTCCGGCTCTGCCTCTTTTTAGCTGAATATATTATATATATATACCTTACATACTTATATGTACCTATTTGTACGCATATGTCCATTAGCGAGCGAGGTTGGTTGGCCTTCTGCTCAAACCATACTAGAACAACCGACCTAGGCACCTTACATATATGTATCTGATGTGCTCAGATGCATCAGGCAGCCGTCTCCCTCATGGAAGTCCCAAAACAAATCAGTTCTGAAATGCTGCGTATATCGAGTCGCGAGGTTCCTAGAGTGCGTTGAAACTTGAAAAGTTGACCCCACCACCAATAATACCTTGTCCGTTTTCCCATCCGGATTACCGAAATGGGCGAGGGGTGAGAGACGTTCCCGACTTGCCGTGTGTGTGTAGGTTTGCATGTGCACACTTGCATGTGCTGTACACCTCCACCAGGGTGAACGTATACTTCTTTGTAATTGGGCACCTTACCAAACCCCCCAGGCCCTTCCTAACAGCAAATTGATTGTCGTCTTTCCAGAGTTTCAACGCCTGCAACCCGACCGCTTACTTGCACTCTAGTGGCGTCCTACATCGCCTCGGACCTGAGAAACTAATCCCCGACTAACAACGATCGATCCGTATCCCCCCGCGGTGCTGTCACCCTGCCGCAATACATCGGCTTGTTGTCGGCCGTCTTGTCCGTAAAGACCGACCACTTTGTCGGCTGTAACTCGTACAAGACGTCGTACTCTCTTGCCCCCTTGGGCAACGGCAACACACAACACACTGGCTGCTATTTACACTGCCATTGTTCTTCTTGCTTCGCTCTTGGCTATATACCGACATCTCTTTCACATCAGTTGGCTCTGGTGGGGACGTGCTCGGACATTGCTGATTGCTGCAAACCCCTCACTCACCTCCCAAACATGGCGCGAGCTCTCCTTCAGTTCCCGCTCGAGATTATCCACAGCATCCTGAGTTTAACAGACACACAGACATTGCTGGCGATTCAGAGAACATGTCGCTTCATGTACAACAACATCAAGGGCAACAGGGCACTTTATCGGAACATGTACCTGAACATTCTGGCACGCAGAACCAAAAACCCAAAGTGCCACACATAGCTAACTGCTTGGACAGGATGATCCTCTCACCCATGAACTCGACTGGGAACAGGAAGTGCATGATTTATTGAAACTGCGACTCATCTGTGATCGCAAGGATGCCGACAAGGTGAGAGCTTCAACTGTCCCGTCCGGCAAGGGGCCGAGTTCTATTGGGTAAATAGCGTGACGGATGATGGCCTAGCTGACGATATATGCAAATGATTTCATTTCTTCCCCTTATAGGCAGAGGAGCTACCTTTTGTGTACAGCACTGTCACTCGCTTGCTCAAGCATTCAGCCCAGGACCAAGAGGGCGAGCGGCCTTTGGTGACCATGACCTACCCCATCTCGCGCAACGCCACGCTGCTCGCGAGCCTATTTGAAAACGAGTCAAACCGCAAAGCCTTCCTGATGCGCTCCTTCATCTTTGAGCGCGCCCAGGGCCTCACCAACGGAATAGAGGACCCGCCCAAGGAGAATCACCAGCAGAGCGCGAAGCTGCATTGCTTATACGGCATGCCCTCGCGGAACCCCGGTCGTACCCGCTCATCCAAGATGTACCCGTTTGCCTGTTCCAAAGTCTATGATTTGCGTCAGTACACAGGCGACTCGAGATGGGGCCCTTTCATCAACGACGGCAGCGACCGCGTCGACTGGGAGAAAGTCGAGGCTATTCTGCTGGTAATTCGCACGAATATCAAAAATAAAGGGCTCGATGCGTTCGCTATCTTTAGCTACATTTGGAGCGACCCCTTCTGCGGTTGTTGGCCGAGGAGCTATATCCCGTGGTCGCCAGAACCGTTAGAACCCGAAGGAGGCTCGGCTGCTCTCTCCGCGAGGGATCCATATGGTGTCACGGGAACCTGGTTGCGGGTGGTTTGTTTCTTAGGTACGAGTATACATGCATTAACTATGCCAAGCCTATGATGTGAGTACTACTAACACGAGCTTTTCAAATCAGACTTCAATGACTTCTTCAGCTACAACTTCCCGCTCGGCGATCCGCTACCGGACCATGTCCCGCGGCCTGCGCTCAACGTCGGCGAGGCCACGAGGCTGATCTTGATGAAGATCCGCGTGACCAAGGTTGAGCCAGCCGGAGAGGGCTATCGCAACAAGGACCACCCGGTCGTACACTTTGAGGGCCTCTCCCGGGCCTTGGATGAAATGTGGGACGACGAGACCGACTCGGATCTGCGAGGTAGGAAAACAAAGGGTGATTTATGTTCCACATATGCACAAATCCAGAAACATACGAATTGTCAATCGTTTTCCACATTGGACAGTTTGCTGACATTTTGAAATATGTTGAGTGACGGATATAGGCACGGTAAGCATGACGCCCGAGGGAGAAGTTCGATGGACTACGTATTCCATCTTTGATGGCGTCGAGAGATGGAAGAGCGAAAGCATTCAGCTTGGTGGCATCCGGTCTGCAAGAGGTGTGGTGGGGAACTGGTTCGACAGGTATTTGTTTCCGGCGCTCTGTTTTTTCCCCTCTGTCTTCTTCATTTTCTTTCTCTCTAATATGTGATGAATAGTAACTTTAACCCCCACGGGCCTTGCGGACCGACTGCGTTTTGGAAGGTCTCCGACGAGGATCCCAAGCCTGAGGGCGAGATTATACAGACCCGATTGCCGAGTCCACGTAGGGGTTTTTTTTTTTTTTTAAAAAAACCCCCCCAATTTTTTTTAAAAATGTTTTTGTTTCCTTTTTTTTTTTTAAAGCAAGAGCAGCTAACTGACTTTAACAACTTAGTTTTGGGAAATTTGCGCTTTTGAACTGGAACCACCTTTGAGCACGACATGACTGCGCTCATGCTAGAGTAGGATAGGTGCCGTTACCTTCCTGCCTCACCAATGTTTCTTAGGCAACGACGATGATGAATTTTTTTCCTCGCCTTTTTTGTTTTCGAGGGCAAATATCTCTTCGTTACGTTCTTCTCTTCGACCCATTACCTTGCCAAAACAAAACGGGGAAAGAGGAGTTTAGGTAGTTCCCACGCAGGGACAAGGAAGGGACAATGCAAAGTAACAGGCGGAGATTACATCAAATTCCCATATCACGGTTGTATAGTGTAGCGGTCATCACATCGGATTCTGAAAATACGAAGTTTCCGGGAACCCCGGTTCGATTCCGGGTACGACCTTATCCTTCCATCTGTAATTTTTTTAACAGTTTTTATTTCTCTCACAAAGAAAAGAATGTCTTCCCCATTCTCTCCTTCCCCAGAGCACTCTCAGAGCTTACTCCTCCCGTCCTTTTCCTCCGTGACAGGGGGGTCCGTATTGACCTTGTTATGCTCACAAGTCGCCAGCAGCACCCCGTCGCTCGCCCGTCGCATCGCCCCACGCAAGGCGCACATCCGCCGCCCTAGCTGCACGACCTCGCACTCGATCAGCACCTTCTCGCCGACGGGAACCGGGCGGAGGTACGTCGTGTTCAGCGTCCGGCTCACCCCCAGGTACATCCAGAACCCCGGCTCCGAGATCAAGGCCAGCGGCGTGGAGGTGCAGAAGTCGAAAAGGGAGGCGGTGCAACCCCCGTGCAGGTTGCCTAGCCGATTGCAGTGCTGTGGCTGGACCGTGAAGGTGAATGTCACGCTGGGGTGAGGGAGGGCGGGTGAGGTGGAATGGATATCTAGGAATGGGGTGAGGGTGTTGGTCCATTCCTTTTGGGGGGGGAGGGGGGGATGGGGAGGATTAGTTTGGTGGAGAAATGGATTAAAGGGGAGAGACGGGGAAATGGAACGGGAACGGACATGGTCGTCTAAGTCATTTGTAAGGTCTCGGCCTTGACGGAGGAGTTCGCGCACGCGGTCTTCGCCGGTGAGGTTGGCGTAGAGTGAGGGCGGGAGTTTGGAGGTGTTGCTGGGCTTTTTGGTGGATGTCATGATGGGTGATGTTCTTATCTATTGCTTGTGTGTCGGTGTGTTCGTTCGGCTTGGGGGTGTTGTTTGTGTTTTTTATGGGCGAGTAAAATAATAGGGGCGTGGGATGATGACGAGGATGGTGGTGGGAGTGGAATACGGCCTTTATAGAAGTATAGATAGAGTATTAAACGTTGGCGTGGGGTTGTACGTACGAAACTAACTGTACGCGGATATAAAAACCCGGGGTTGGGTCTGAGGTGTGGACAATGATCAGTGCTTGTTGTATTTCCAGTCGGCGCGGTGACGGGGAAGAGGAATAGGTTATGAGTTTGGTTCGCTACCTAGTTCATAAAAAGCCCAGGCATATGTATGTAGATATATTACGGACGCTGGCTGGAGTTCGTGAATGGGAAATGTAGAGCAATTCTACTTTGATATCAAGTGTAAATAGATATCTACTCCTTCAGTTGGTGGATATGAGAGGAAGCAGAAAGGGGGCACGGATGCAGCGCGATTGAATGAACGCTTATAATGTGGATTCACGGCTGCCCTTTTAACGTTGTTCTCCTCCCCCGCATCAAGGATTAGCCTCGGTAACCTCTAAGTACCTGTCTGCTTAGCTTGGGCTACGCATAACAAGTCGTCGTGCATGCACCCTTGTCATTATGCTGGTGCTGCGGGCAGTTGACAAGTAACTCCGTGGTTTGAAGTCAGTACACCGGTATATTTAATCATATATCGTGTTACTGCCCTGTGTCAAGCTGCCTGTTGACTAACATTGAGCTTGGAACTGGCGCCATTACTGGTGGTAATTCTGGGTCCGAAGGGGCTTGCAGTAACCTGCTTTGTGCTGGATCTCGCTTTTCCAGGTAAGATAGTACTCCTCTTTGAGTATGTTTTTCCAGGAGAAAATAAATAGACCCGGCTCTCTCTATATCTTTCGAGGGACCCCAACACCATTGCTCCAGTCCGTACTTAAGATATCCAATACCGGTATGTCCAGTAGTTGTATTGCTTCTTTAAACCTTGCTGGTAGTGGATCTCTAGATTTGGGGGACAGACGGCTGGCAAAACGGCCTGGGTGGCGCAAATGCATCACTGCGGGCTTTCGCACACCTTATTACGCGACGAGTAAGTGATTGTGCATAGAAGCGTGTAAAATATCAGTAAAATAGTTGTCGGGAATATTTACTCTCGAGGAATGAGTATTTTTATTGTTAGAGAAAGAGAGTCAGTTTGTGGTATCTATAATTGTATATACTCCTGCTTTGAACCCCGTAGTGACGTGCCTCGGCAACTTTCAGGTGGCTGTCGGGAAAGCTCCAGTATCCCTGTAACTCCCCGCAACCACCAGTCGCGCGCTCACCGGCCAACGAGTCCAATCCTTCGCATAATGCATCCCACTTCCGTTTCCATATTCTGGTGAAGAACCAGCGGCAGGATAACATGGAGTTTGTCACTGCCCTCCGGGGAAGCTTCGACGATGGGAAGCCGTCGCTCTTCGAACTGCTCTCGGAGCAGCAACTTGCTGGGCTGCTCCCATCGACACTGCGCTACCTCCTGACCGTCGCTACGCACCGATACCCTCGGCACCTCCTTCGCGTCCTCAACTCCTTTGACGAACTATACGCGCTCGCCGCCCTCATTGTCGAGCGCCATTATTTGCGCAGCCGCGGCGGCTCTTTTACCGAGAATTTCTATGGATTGAAGCGTGAGAAGGCGCTGGCAGCCGATATCCCACGCGCCTCCGCCCAGGCGCCCTCCGTCGTTCGCAACACCCTGCGCCTGGCCAACGGCGATATCTGGCGCAATCTTGCGGTTATGGTTGGCTTGCCATACCTCAAGCGCAAGCTCGACGAAGCATACGAGGTCGACGCCCCGCGTACCCTGCTCGGCGCCGCCTACACTCGCCTGCCTGCGGGTGCTACATGGAAAGACCGCTTCCTCCACCATTATCGCTGGTTTCTGCGCAACCTATATCCCAGCGTCAATGCCGCCTACTACTTTGCGCTTCTGGCATTTAACTTAGCATACCTCTTTGACAACACACGATACCATAACCCCTTTCTCTGGCTGATCGGCACCCGTATGCGCCGCATGAATGGCGCCGACTACCGCGCCATCGAGGACGCACTGAAGCCCGCCGCCGCCGCTGCTGGGGCTGCCGCAACCGCCACCGCCACATCTTCCATGTTTTCTCCCCGCAACATCAGCGCCCGCATGATGGGTGGGCTATCCCTGGTCCTGCCGACAAGCATCTTTGCTCTCAAGTTCCTCGAGTGGTGGTATGCGTCCGACTTTGCCAAGCAGTTATCGCGGAAAGCCGGCGAGAGTTTAGACCTCCCGCCGCCAATAGTGTCGGGGGTGTCGGCTGAGAGGAGCCTAACACCATCAGCCACGGCAAAAAAGGCAGCTCCTGCCCAAGAGGACGGGGAAGAGGGAGAAATAGACAACGAGAAACCCTTGGACGCGGCACCCATCGCCGCGTCGTCGCTCCTGCCGATATACACAGTACCTACGCCGCCACAAACATCTGACGCGTGTTGCCCCATCTGCGAAGGCGAAATCGTGACGCCCACTGCGTGCCAAACAGGCATCGTCTACTGCTATACGTGCATCCACAAGTGGATCGTTGGTACGCACCCTCGCCAGGAGCGCTTCATGACCCCCGACAAGGTGGGCAAGTGGGAGAGCGGCGAAGGTAGGTGTGCCGTCACGGGGCGGCGCGTGCTAGCAGGGACGGAGGGGTTGAGGAGAATTATGGTGTAACATGCATAAACAGGAGGGAGTTCATCTGTGTACTTAATGGACGGCTGCTGCCGCTGTGGGCTACATTGAACCATGGAGTTCCTGGAAAGAAAGGCAAAGACCTTCGGTACTTAAAATAAGGGATATGAGCACTAATATGGGACTCGCGGCTCATAACTTTTGTATGTTAGAGCCTGTATCCGTGTTTAGAAGGTCAGGTATTGATAATGAAAACAAAAAGACATTAAGAATCACTGACCTTTCCTTCCTCTGAGAGTTGTAAGATAAATGAACCCAAAATAGGGGAAGCATGAACTGCTGGCTTGAGGCTTCACCCAGATCTAAGTTTACAGTGGAGATCTTGCTGCGGTGTGGGGGATCACAGGCCCCAAACCAGGATTTTCCACTGTGGATTTTGCCTAATTATAGCATGCTTGTGGAAGCTCGGTCGAAGTTCATTTCACCGAGCGAGACCTTCCATGTCCGGGCTGTGTCGTCAGCTTTCTCTCAATTCGCCAAACGCTTTAGTAGAGGAGATAGACGACAACAATTGAACACCTATAGCGAACGCACTAAAACCCACCAGCGGCGACGACGACAAAGCCCGGCAACGAAGCCATCCACTAGATCGGCCCACTGTTGTTAGCACCATTGACAGACTATCGTCTGGTCCTTTGCCCATTCCGTTCCAATTTCACCTTCATCTACCAACGCGCGCATCCTTGGGCACTTGTTGCCGTTCCACTCGTTTTAGCCACAAGAAAGAACGGGCTGTTTGATCGAAAGAGAAACCTAATTATCTTTTCTCCTCGAGAGCGGCGTTTGGACGAAAGACACTGAGCAACATCGATTACCATACACTTCATACCGCCTTCTCGGACAACCGCTCGCCTCGTCCCGACACTTCCACCGCGATCTCGCTACCCCTTCATACTCTCATGCGCCCGGTGGGATAACTCTTACTAGAGTTTGGGCTTGGAGGGAGGAACGATGGATTGGATGGCTAGGACAGGGTTGCGGTGGATTTTACTTGTTCTCGCGGTCTGCCAGGCCGCCAATGCCTTTTACATTCCTGGTATGTCTCCAAGGTGCCCCCCTTTCACACGACACGCATGCGGTGGAACATTGCGCCTAATTTCTCTCTCCAGGCTGGTCCGTCAAGAGCTATCAGGATAACGAAGCGATCCCTTTACTCGTAAACAAAGTCTATTCGGACAACACGCAGCTTCAGTATGCCTACTACGACCTGCCCTTCGTCTGCCCGCCGACGGGCCAGCGCCGCCATGATTCGGGCCTTCTCAGCGGAGAGAGCATCCCGCTCAACCTGGGGGAGGTCCTTCGCGGCGATCGGATTACAGTATCAGATATCGAGCTCGCCATGAAGCAGGACACACAATGCGCGTTCCTATGCAGCCGGCAGGTGAGCCGGAAGGACCTGCAACGCGCTCGGCAGATGGTGAAGGAAGGCTATGTGGTTGAATGGATCGTCGACAATCTCCCCGGGGCGACGAGCTTTGTAACGGTTGACA